GGACAGGAAGACTCAGAAGCCATAGCGGGAAGACTCGCATCAGAAGGGGGCAACCTCCGGAGTTGTACAAACTACAATTCAAGCGAAACCCTGCCCCGAGTTAGAAACCCTCAGACGTTTTGAAGCTGGAAGCAGGGAGGAAACGGAAGGAGAAGGGCAAACCAAGCCCACCGAAGAAAGAAGAGGTGGTGTGGACAGAACCACGGTCAAGGTGATCAACACCTCCAAATACGAATCCTCATACACCAAGTGGGGCAGATCTGGAGCTTCCAACCGGGCACACAAACTAGCACATTGCAACACAGAAAATGCCTATGCAATGCAACCTCTGCTTGATACCTCGGAATGGCCATCGAGAAATGGGTGAATGGGAGTACACGAGGGGGAACAAGGCCCACATGACTCGGGGTCGTAGTTGTCATCGACACAACAAGCAGCAAGGCAAAGGTAGAACATATGATCGACGCCCAATTGCACAGGTGATGAACAACTCTCAAATTCGCTCAAGGCGAGAGCGGGCTCAGAAGAGATACCATTGTACAACCAAGCCCATAGGGTTTTCCGGGGCCTGCAGGGGTGAATGAGCCCTACAGGAAGCCTAGAGCCTAGGCACTGGGAGCCATCTATGCTGGTAAATCCTCTCAGTGCAGGCAACCAGATCACTAGAAGCCACTATGAAAGCCCAGGGGGTAGCAAGGAAGTTACACTGCACACACCCTAGGCATGACTAATTAGGTGAAAAGCAGAACCCCCAAAACTTGAGGCAAGAGAATAAGACAGCAAAACTAAAAAGGAAGGGCAAAACAAGTAAGGAAGCCCCCTTATGGGAGTGTTGCCCGATTACCCCAGGAAAAGCAACCCTGATCATGCAAGGGTAGTACTTACAGAGCGCACAGGAAAGAGAACCTTGAGCACATGCAGCTCCAGTACATAAAAACTCCTGGCCCACACACACCTCCATATAGGAACAGCACCTCAAAGGCAAAAACAAAAAAATGGGAAACCGGGGCCAGAGCGACAACCGTCCACTCGGCACTCTACATCAGTCAAGAACTGAACAGTGGCGGCCCAGCTGGCCCAGGCCGCCACTCATCCCCCCAATGAGGGAGGAGGGGGAACTAACTATTGTGGGGGAAGGGGGCAATGTATCAGTGAAGAAATGTCACTAATCGAGTACCACACGATACACTTCTTGCACCAGTAATGTTCACTGTCCATATTCCAAGACAATAGAATTCTCTATTCCAAGAAGGAACAGAGAATTATATGAAGATGTTTGCTGATGAAACTGTACTAAGATACTTGGGAAGATAAGAAGGTCCACATACCTCGGGGTCATAGTTGTCACCAACACAACAAGCAGCAAGGCAAAGGTAAAACATATGATCGACGCCCAGTTGCACAGGTGATGAACAACTCTCAAATTCGCTCAAGGTGAGAGCGAATTATATGAATCACGTACAAAGTACTGTACGTGATTAGACGACTATCTTGGCCTTCAATAAGACCTGGACAATATAAGTATATAAGCAACACATGGCCAAGTGTCACTCAAGGACCACATAAAGAACATTGTGCGAGGAGCCTATGCTACACTCTCAAATTTCAGAACTACTACTTATTAATGCATGGATGATGAAATAAAATAAATTGTTCATGATCGTTGTGAGACCAAAGTTGCAATATGCAGCAGCTGTATGGTGCCTATGTCTTAAGCAGCACTCCAACAAACTAGAAAAGGTGCAGAGACATGCAAGTAAATAGGTCTTGGATCTGAAAGACAAGAGCTACGAGGAGAGGGTTAACAATCAAATGATGTTATATCAAACAATCATAACAATCAAAACAATCAAATCTACCCATAGTAGGAAAGCAACATGTAAAAGATCTGGGAATAATGATGTCCGACACCATAACATTTAGGGAGCACAACCAAACAAATACTGTATATCGTCAGCCAGAAAAATTATAAGATGGATTATGAGAACCTTCAAATCAAGGGATCCCCATCACAATTATCACACCATTCAAATCACATGTACTGTCCAGTTTTGAGCACTGCTCAATACTCGCCTCGACCTTCAGACCACGAGAGACTGCTGAAATAGAGGGAATTCAGAGAACATATACTGCATACATAGATGCGATAAAGCACCCAAACTATTGGGATCATCTCAAAGCTCTTCAAATGTACTCTTTAGAAAGGAGACGAGAGAGATACCAAGTAATATATACATACATGAATAATACTTGAGGGTCAGGTCCCAAATTTATACAGTAAAATAACAAACTGGAGTGAATAACATGGAAGGAAATGCAGAATAGAGCCAGTGAAGAACAGGGGTGCCATATTCACAATTGGAGAACACTGCATGAACATCAGAGGTCCACGATTGTTCAACATCCTCCCAGCATGTATAAGAAATTTTGCCAGAACAAAAGTGGACATCTTTAAGAGAAAACTGGATAGTTTTCTTCATGATGTGCTTGACCAAGTGGGCTGTGGTGGATACACGGGTCTGTGTGCTGTTCCAACCTGTTGAACCAATCTCTCAAGTCGAGCTTGGTCCTGGGCCAAGCTTGTGGAGTAAAAGAACTCCCAGAACCCATCCAAGGTAAGATATGACCAAGGTCATCTATAAATTATGTGAAAATGCTTTTAAGAATTCTGGTAAAGTAAGCACACAAAAATATCACCACATAAGACTGCAAGGCATGGTAGGAGGTGCAAAATAGCCCCATTGAAAAGCAGAGGTGCAATTGGCATGCTGAACGTGAACTTTATCAACACCAAAAGCCTAAGATTTTTCTACACTCTTCCCCTACACATTTGAGGCATAATTGACCAACCTCTTGCAGTGTTCAAAAAAGAACTCGACAAGCACCTTCAAAGGATACCTGATCAACCAGGCTGTGTGACTTATGTTATGGTGCAAGCAATCGCGTCTAGCCAACCTGTCCTTTTACAAAGTACTGTACGTTGTACAGTACTTAAAGTAAATGTACGTTGCATTTCAATCATATGCGTTACATAAGGCCAAAAAAATGTCGTACTAGAAAATGAAAGTGGCTCATGAAAGTGACGTACTGTCCCGTTTTCTGTTTTGGGTCCTCTGGTAGGTTAGGAGAGGACACTTTATAATTGACCATTTTTCTTGACGTTGGGAAACCTTAGGAGGATGGGCTGATCTAACAGCCTGGTTGATCAGACCAGCAACTACAAAGCCTGTTCAGAGACTGGGACATGGGGACACTGATCCCAAAAATTGTCAACAGGTAGTAGGGGTGGGTCTGAATAAAATACTGTACTGTCAGTAGAGGATCACAAAGAACATTGTGCAAGGAACATATGCAATGCTTTCCAACCTTAGAATCGCTTTTAAATATATGGATGGTAAAATAATAAAGAAATTATTCATGATCTTTGTGAGACCAAAGTTATGTGCAGCAGTTATATGGTGTCCATATCTTAAGCAGCACATCAATAAGCTAGAAAAGGTGCAAAGACTCGCAACTAAATGGCTTCTGGAACTGAAAAATGAAGGCTACAAAGAGAGATTAGTGGCATTAAATACACCACAACTAGAATATAAAAGGAGAAGAGGCGGTATGACCACAACTTACAAAATAATAACAGGAATTGATAAAATTGACATAAAAGAATTTAGGAAAACTTCAACTTCAAAAACAAGAGGTCACAGATCCAAGCTCAGAAAACAAAGGTGCTGAGAAATATCTGAAAGTTCACTTTTGTAAACGGATTGGTAGATGGTTGGAATATGTTAAGTGAGGAGGTGGAGGCCAAATTGTCACTAGTTTCAAAGCATCATAGGACAAATTGTAAATTCAAATGTTTATTCAGGTAAAGTACATACATACAAGGTGTGATAAAAACTGATAGATTTATAGATAGAGTTAGTACATACAATGCCTAAAGCGTTTTGGGCAGGATAAACACTGAAGACTGAAACTTAATACTAATTGAGATTAAAGTATAAATTGTGTTGAGAAAATATAAAAATAAAAAAGGGGGGAACATGGCAGAAAAATAGCAAAAATACAATTTGGTCGACAAACAGCATTGTTTAAAAATAGCAGACATGGGTTGACGTTTTAGGGGTGAGGTAGGTTACATGGAGTTAATTAGGTAGTACTTAGTTTTACTCTTAAACTGGTTGAGAGAGGTACAGTCTTTAACATGATTGGGAAGGTCATTCCACATTCTGGGTCCCTTGATTTGTAGAGCATTTCTAGTTTGATTAAGTCGTACTCTTGGAAATATCAAAAAGGTATTTGTTTCTGGTGTGGTGCTTATGGGTTCTGTTACAACCTTCAAGGAAGCTTTTAAGGTCAGGATTGATATTACAGTACCTCATATTATATGTATATAATACACATGAGAGGATGTGCAGTGACTTAATATCTAACATATTCAAGAGATTTGAGTAGGGGTACCGAGTGATGTCTGGGGCCAGAGTTGGATATTGTCCTAATAGCAGCTTTGTGTTGAGTAATTAGAAGACGTAAATGATTTTGGGTAGTAGAACCCCAAGCACAAATACCATAGTTGAGATAAGAATAGATGAGGGAGTAATAGAGCGTCACCAGGGCAGGGCGAGGTACATAATATCGGTTCTTAGAAAGAATACCAACAGTTTTTTAAACTTTTTTGATATATTTAGAATGTGTCCCTGGAAATTCTGCTTGTGGCAATGAGAACGCCAAAGAATTTGCCATCTACTTTGTTACAAATTTGGGAATTGTTTATCCTGAGATTTATTTGATTTAAGGATTTATTGCCAAACAAAATATAGAAGAACTGGGAAGACAAGACACCACAAACTTGGCTCTCATCCTTTAACTATACTTGAGTAATTAACCATTGGTAGCTACACACTAGCAAACACACATTTCTAGAAATTGGCATTAATGCTCAAAACATTCGATGAAGCTTCCAAAGTAACACTTAATTTTGCAGCATATGAAACTGAATGACTTACCTCCTCTACTGGATCTGATGGCAACTGTTGAATAGCAACCCAGTATAGGGACTGGTCTCTAGGTGTTGCAATGTGTGTGACTGCAGGCTGCTTGGCTCCTACAGGAACTAGTGCCAGGTTCTCCAATCTGTTGTCCACTGTCACATGGTTTAAATGGATCACTTTCCATCCAGATGCAATTCCTCCTCTGTGTGTTTCCCTACATGTGAAAATATTTAAAAAAGACTTTATTAAAGGGTTACAGTAAAATTCTTTAATATTTTGAAAACAAAATGTGTAGAATGCCAAAGATCAATATCTTTAATTGTAATAACAATTAACAATATATAAAAATATGAAAATAAAACGGTGTTAAATGTAATGAAACATCTCTTTTTGGTGGGTCCTTTGGCATCTCCCTGAGCAACACACTGGTATATATACCCTGTCAAACCCCCAGCACCACACCAGGCTCTATCAGTTCATGAATACTTACTGAAGACCAGTACAGTGGAACCTCGATTAACGAGTGGCTCTATTAACGAGTTTTTCCAGTAATGAGCAAGCCACTAGCAGCAAATTTGTCTCTATTGACGAGCTCGCCTCTATTAACTAGCAAAACCACATGGTGCTTCCTAGCATCTCGCGGGTTCTCGCAAATTCTCGGACGCCTCCGACGCCAGTGTTGTTGTATCGCACACGACAAGCATCCCTCTGGATTTGAGCTTTTCTTTGGGTTTTTAGTGGTTTTGCGACTACAATTTGTAACACACGATGTCTCCAAAGAAGCTGCTTGCTAAAGATAGTGTTGTCAAGAGGAAGAAAGACACAATTACTGTGGATTTAAAGAAGGAAATTATAGCAAAGCATGAGTGTGGTGTCTGTGTGACTGATCTCACAAGGGAGTATGGCAGGTCCTCATCAACAATTTACACCATTAGTAAGGGAATGAGGAGGTAAGGGAGGATGCTGCCTCTTCCACCGAGATCAGGGAAGTGTTTGGAATGTTTGAAAAGGTGAACGCATTCTTGGAAAAGCTGCCCTGATAAAGCAGTGACAACCCGGTGTGTGAAAATGTTTAATTAATTTATCACTTTGTGATAACACTTTATGAAAGTGTTATCACTTTCGCAGGTGTTACGGACCCGAGCCCAACGTCCGAGCACGGAGCAGTGACGACCGCGCCATCTGTGGGTCAGCTCCCGAAACCCCCTCCAAATGGACGACGCCACATAGTGAGGACGAGAGATACTGGCCACAAGGGCTAGTTTCCCGTCCTGATCAGCTCATAACACAGCCGCTGCTGACCTCTGGTGAGGTGGAGCTTAGACAGCAATGCCATCTATGGAGTGGATAGGTGGGCGTTTGTGTCTAAGCCGGTAAGTGAAATGCCCTATAGTGTAAACCGGTACTGATGACGTGTCTGATTACAGAGCCGACCTGGGACTGCTGTAATGGAAGTTGGATCAGTCTACCCAAGGCAGCCGTTTTGTCTCCAAGAGTTTGCTGTAGCAGCTGTGAGTCGCCCCCCGGATGAACACTGTGGTGTTACCCTGCCTGTGACGTGGCAGTTGAGGGATTGTCGTACCCGGGACTGACTGGTGGAGACGCTTGACCACTGGGGTGTTGTGGCAAGGAGAGTGGTCTGTGGGATCACACGAGGCTCCTGACTAGGGTTCGCGACCTTAGTATCGATCGTGGAGTGGCCTAACCAGCGTCGCTGTTTGGAACCTGCCAGCTACCGGCTGGACTTGTGGTTGATGGCCTCCACGACGGTGCCCCCAGTGGAACTGTGATTTGGCTGGCCTGTGGCCAGGGTAGACTCGAGTGGATCGAAGGATTCGTAGCGAGGCCACAAGAGCACCAAGAGCTTAGCATCGTGAGCACCGTGAACGTCCAGAGTCTTCAGTAGAAGACAACGTTGAACATTCTAGTGTTTATACCCCCCCCCCCCCCCCGTGTAATCTTCTTTTATATTATTTATGGTGACGGTGTTAATTATATTGTTAAGTTTTTGCCTTTATTTCCCTTTCCCTTTAATTTACTTGCGTTACGGATCACATCCCTTGAAAGCCACTATTAGCTTGGGGCCGGATACCCTACCTCTAACAACATCAGAGTAAGAACCCGGTTGCGACCCGAGAGGGCCGTAACAGCAGGTATATGTCGCTTGAACGTGACACACTTTTTTCTCTTGAATGCACCCAAACACCGCGCTTAAGCGTCATTTGAGCAAATATTTCTATAAAATCCAATTCTTATCCGATCGACTTGGGGATTGTATACATGTTTGCCATGAAATTTCCATTTTCTTTAATAACCACATTGCCTATTTGGGAAAACGGCATTGTATTGTATCTTCGTGGTAAGACTTATATTGTTGACACAACGAGTGTAATCGACGTAGTTTTTTATTTGGTGCTGGTCTAACGCATCCTTGTGTGACATTTGAAATGAAATTTGAGTGAAATTCCCAAGAAGAGAGAGTCCGCCTGACTCAGAGGTGGATTCTCCTTCCACACCATAACCCCTCTCATCCTTCCCACCTCCCCATCATCTCCCTCAAGCCAGCAACTACTCTTCATAAGGTAAAGTAAATATTAAAACACTACAACAAAACATTTATATTTACATGTGCAGTATTATATTTACATAAAAAAGTCATACAAGTATGGATGTTTTTGGGAGTGGAACGGATTAAATTTATTTCCTTTATTTTAAATGGGGAAATTTGTTTCTTAAGACGAGTTTTCCAGGTAATGAGCTCGGTGCCAGAACGGATTAAACTCGTTAATAGAGGTTCCACTGTACTGTACCAGAATGTGAACCTCTCCCAATAGAGGGCATGTCTGGAGCTTTAAGATCACCACAGTAACCAAGAGAAACTGTCACATGGTTAGAGTGCACCAAAACACAGCTGCATGGATCACATCTGCAATAATAATCCTAAATATGCAAACAATCATTAACCAGGCTGAACCACTGGCTCATAACACATGCCTGCCATCAGATGGCAAACCCTAGCTGTCAACTGAATTATTAAAGCACCACCCACTGCCAGAGTCCTCACCATCATTGGAAAAGAGGCAAGGGTAGCAATAGGGAGGAGCTAATAAGAGACCCACAAGAAAGAGGCATTACATTACATGTTGGCTTTCTAAAAGGGACAACTCGGTACCTCCTCAAGCTATCTCTCCATGAAGAACAAAAAGAAAATCAGGAAGATTGACCAAAAGGAGGGAAAGGAGATGCAATCCCACATGGCCATAGTGACGAGCCAACAATATCAAGCAAATGGAGTGCGGCACTAAGAACACGAGATCAAGGGCCAAGTTGCAAATGCACTGAAGAGAATAATAACATGGCTGAAGATATAATGACCAAACCATACACCAGATGATGAGGAGAAGACAACGTTTTTGGTCCGTCCTAGACCATTATCAAGTCTACAATCGTCTTGATAATGGTCCAGGACGTTTAGAAACATCATCGTCTCCTCATCTTTTGGCGTGTGATTTGGTCATCACACTAAAGATAACCAAAACCACAATGAAGAACAAAGCCACATGCTAATGAACCACTGCAGCCTGAGGGTAAATAGCCAGCAGGTCCGATGATAACACATGTTACACCTAATCAAGAAACTACTAACACACAGCAAAAAAAAAAAAAAAAAAAAAAAAAAAAAAAAAAAAAAAAAAAAAAAAAAAAAAAAAGGTACCCACCTGAACCTTCAAAGAAGCATGCCAGTTACGAGCATCTACCAAAGGAGAATGGGGTAAAAAAAAAAACAGCGTTGAATGTAATGAAACGCCATTTTCTGGGTGAGACCCGGAGGTTTCCAGGAGCTATCTGAGCTGATATGAATGTATTAGACCCTGGCATCAGTCAAGGGAATGGAGTTCTAGGCCTACCAAGGAACACGAGCCAGAACCTGGCTCCCTCAAAGAGGCACGAGGAGCAATGGCCTATAGAAACCCCCTGTGTGGTTGGAAGCATGCTATGTCTGCCATCGACCAGGTCAGGCACCCAGAAAGGTAGGCGCCTAAATAAAAAAACTATCTGGTTAAAAAATTGCTACTGAAAGCTGAACTATTGGACAGAACTCCCCAAACTAAAAATGATCATATCAGTATGATGTCACAACCCTCACTGCACCGCTATCTGCGCAGCTACCCTCCCCCCCCCCACCTCAAGCACCTCAAGGTATCCCCCAGGCAGGGGGAGCTACAGACCCCCTCCCGCCCCCCATGCCGACTATTCACCCTTCAGTTCAGAGGCTGGATGTCAAAAATCGTGAAAAACGCCAACCGGTGGGTTGCCGGGGAACCTCTGGGTCTCGCCTAGAAAATAGCGTTTCATTACATTCAACTCTGGTTTTCTGGGGGGAAGCCCCATTGGCTCCCCGGAGCTCCTTGATCAAAGATAAAACAAGAGGGCTTACCCGGGAGGCGGTTGCCACTCGCTCCTCAACTCTAAGTCTAGACAACTGGCTGCAACCGCCAGCCCAATGTGACACATGCCCAACTAGGGCCAGGAACATTAACTAGATAGCAAGCGGCCAGGACCAGGACCCTGTTTGACCTCCAAAAACCTCCATGCCTGAATGTCAGCCTAAGACATATTACCAAAGACGGCAGCCAACGCAGCAAAACTACGAATGTCATGGGCACGAGGATAGACCACAGGTTGGCTGGACCGAATAATTGTTTAGATGACCTGGGAGACCCGAACCCTAGAACAGGAAAGAAGGGAAACCAGGTCAATCCAAACCCAAGGACCCCTATGGAAAGCAGCAGTCTCATTCTTCACCAGAAAAGGAGACGGCTGCAAACAAACAAACCTACCACCAGGACCAAAAGAGCAAAAAACCTCTGTGCTGAAAGAGCATTAAGCTCCCCAACCCAACCCTAGAGGCCAATGCCAACAGGAAAAAAAAAAAAGAGCCTTCGAAAAACAATTTTGAACACCAGGGAAGTCCGAATGGAGCCGGATCGTTGATCCGCGAGCGACCTGAATCCTCCAGAGCGACATCCAAATGGCCAGGAATTACCGCACCGTGCTGCAGGCCCAATGGAAGGATGGACCCAATCATCCCTGGCCGGCATTGTGAGCACTGGTCACAGAGCCCCAGCCAAGAGACGACGTGTCCATGAAAAACCCAAAAAAGAAGAAGCCGGTGATGCAGCAGCTGACGTAAGGCACCCAGAGGCTGGATGTCAGCCTCTGGGTGCCCAGCGATCGTGAGAGAGGCAGAAGGAACGTCCCAGAAGGAATCAGAACAGCTGACGAAGCCAAACCTGGCTCAGTAGGTTGACCAGCATGGCAAAGTTCAGACTCCCGCACAAACCCTCGAGCAACCACCTTGTGACCAGGGAGCCCTCCAGAAACAGCTGAAGATGGGATCGTAGTTGCAACATAGCCTCCAGAAGGAGAGACAAGGAACCGGTCCGAGAGTCCCACACAAGACTCAGCCAAGTCCGAACCTGAGAGGGAACCAGATGAGACTTCCTCCAGTTCACCAAGAACCCGAACCCGGCGAGCTGGGAAAGAACCAAATCCCTGGCAAACAGACATGCGGACTGGCTGGGAACCCACATCAGCCAGTCGTCGAGGTAGGCCAGAACCCAAACCCCTAAGAGATTCAGACAGGCCACCACGTCCCGGGTAAGGCATGTGAATATGCCGCCAACGTCCCTTATGAGAAGTCGACCGACGAGCAGAGCGGTCACTGCGCCGAACAGACTTCACCGGCTCAGAAACTAGCACCACTGGCCTACCACAACAGGAGGAACCCCCGAGCCCTGGCACAGTCCTTCTGGAAAGAACCCCCACGGCCTCCCCAGAGAACCAACAAGTCCGACATGGGACGACAACTAGAAGAAACTGCTTGCAGACACTGCACCACCACAGACTCTTCAAACAGCACAGGGCAAAAAGGCATAGAAAACCTAAGAGCCAAGAGCCATACTACCTATGTCTTTCTTTTGCCTACTGGGTGGCAGTGTCAGTTCTTTTAGCCTACTGGGGATCACAAGCTAAAACCTGGTCTCCCCTCAGAGAGGTGCAGAGTGCGATGACCTATGAACACTTTACATTTAAAGGATATCATCTTTGCCATCATCAGAGAAGGCACCCAGAAAGATAGGTGAATCAAACAAACCACTGGCTGGTTTAAAAATGTAACCAAAGCCCCCAAAATGCCAAAAGAACTCTCGCAATAAAAATGGAAATAACTAAAACTTAGTGAAACTAGCCCCCTCGCTAGTTACTGCCACATTCCCCCTTCAGTTCTTTACCGAGAAACACACCACCGATCTTGGCAAGGGAGGGTGTCAGGAAGCCTCCGGGGCTCATCCAGAAACTAGTGTTTCATTACATAACATGAAGCTGTGACTAGTATTTTTGTCTACATCTGAGATAAGAATGATAAATAGCAGTGGTGCAAGGACTGTGCCCTGGGTACAGAGCTTTTCACTGCACTTGGGCTTGATTTTATTTGATTAACCGTTACTCTCTGCATTCTGTTTGACAAAAATATGAAACTCCAATGACCCACTTTACCAGTTATTTCTATTGATCTCATTTTATGGGCTATCACTCCATGGTCACATTTGTCAAATGCTTTTGCAAAGTCTGTGTATACAACATCTGCATTTTACAGTTCTTCTAAGGCTTCTGTGATTTTGTCAGTGGTGACAGACACTGTGACACCGTAACTGACAGACAGGATCTTCCTGCTCTAAATCCATGTTGTCCTGGGTTGCGAAGTTAATTATGTTCGATAAAACTGGAAATTTGATTCCTAATCACTCTTTCAAAAACTTTTATTATTGTGATGTTAGTGCAACTGGTCTATAATTTTTTGCCAAAGCTTTATTACCTCCCTTGTGCAGAGGAGTTATATGTGCTGATTTAAGTGCTGCTGGTATCTCCTGTGTATTCAAGCTTATCCATATTACACAGAGAGCTCGCACTACTGGTACTTAACATTTCTTTATGAATACTGAATTCCACGAGTGAGGATCAGGGCCCGAGTGCATGGACATGTTGTCAATTTCTCTTTCAAAGTCTTATGAGTTCGTATTAATATCAGTTATATTACCTGGAGCTTGGATGTCATTCATAAAGAAGCTGTCTGGATCTTCAACTTTTATGTAGTTTATTGAGGAGCTAAACATAGCCTCATACTGGTCTTTTAGAATGTCACTAATTTCTTTGTTGTCATCTGTGTTTAGTAAAATTCCAATACTGTTGGAGGTTTTTGTATTCGCACATGTGACAAAATATTTTTTATTTATCTCTTGTATAGCTTTCTGTTCCAATTCTGTTTACTCAGACTCGTATGATCACTTCAGCGTCTGTTCTATTTCTTCTATCTCCCCATTTAGATTTAATTTCCTTTTTGTGATAATTGTGTCTGTTTAAGTATTTCCATGTTTTTTTCCTCCTGTACAGTCGTCTGTGTTGTCTTGCTAGGGTGGTCCTCCTTCTGACCCTCCTCACAGGCACGTGCTTCAGACCTTGTATGCTTCAGCTGTTAGGCTGTTCCCTGTGTTGGAGTTTTGTCACTAAGACTCTCTCCCAGTGAATGTTTGCAAGGTCTATACAGTATTTATATTTTCCCAGTTGATCATCTTATTGTTGAAACTTAATTGATTGAATAACACTTCTCGTTTGTTGATTCTCAATGGCAACAGTATCAATGGCAATTATACTGGCATTTTTATGGGTGTTTTTCTTTATTCTCTACTTATTAAAACTATTACTTGATTATTAGAGTTAGATGCTCTAGGATGATCAGGCTGAAGTGGGGGAGGGATTTGAGACTTGTGTATTCAAGAGCTAGAGTAAAGTTATGCAACAAATGTCAATACCATTCTATTCACCTGAGCTTCTGGTGTTATTGTTGGGAATATATCTACTCCTAGATCTTTTTCTCTTTATTGTTTCTTGTAGGTAATTTACCTTTTGGTGTAGTTACCTACAGGTCCACGATCTTCCTTACCCATCTTCATTATTTTACATTTTTCAGGAGTGACTACAGGCAACCATTTATCTGACCACCCTAGAAGTTTGGCAAAGTTGTCAATTGTACACAAGATGGTGTAATACTGACCAGAGGAGGTCGTGGACATACTGGCCAGAGGTGCGGCCACGGCCGATGTCGTAGGCCCAGGCATATATGGCAGCACCATTACCGTCTCGATCCATCTCCACTCTCGCCTCAAATGCAAATTGTTGTACCAAGCAAATGTCTCTCTCGTCCAGTAGTGCATATTTTGTCTGTAAATTTGAACAAAATTATTAAGTTTGGAATACATTACACTACTATATATGCTTTATTAGTAAAGATAATTTTTAACTCATGATTTTGCATTATTACTGTATTTTAAATGACTACAGTTTCTCAATAATCCATTTTTATTCCCAAAAAAATATGCAATTTTTTTCAATTAGTGCCTTAAATCATAGATATAGTTTCATAGTCAATGATTTAAACAAACTAAACAAAGCTGCCGAAGAAAAATAAGAAAATTCGCTTTCCCAAACAGTGGTAAATGTTTAGAACAAGTTAGGCGAGGTGGTGGTGGAGGCCAACACCATCTGTAATTTCAATGTGTTATATGACAAAGAGTGGTGGGAAGACGGGACACCACGAGCGTAGCTCTCATCCTGTAACTACACTTAGGTAATTATGCTAACCTCTCACCACAGGCCCCTCAGCTGTAGGGGCCTGACAGCCGAGTGGACAGTGCTCGGGATTCACAGTACTGTGGTCCGGGGATCGATCCCCGGCGATGGCGGAAACAAATAGGCAGTTTCTTTCACCCTGATGCACCTGTTCACCTAACAGTATATATGTACTTGGGAGTTAGATAGCTGTTACAGGCAGCTTCCTGGGTGTGTGGGGGGGGGGGGTGGGAGAAAAAAATAAAGTTGTCCCGGCCTGCCTCCTAACACAGTTGGGAGGCTGGCCGAAAGAGCCAGAGCTCAACCCTTGCAAGTACAACTAAGTGAATACAAACACACACACACACACACACACATACACACACACACACATACATACACACACACACAAACCAACAAAATCAATAGAGAGAGGGGGAGTGAAGAATAAGGAGAGGGGGAACAAGTTCCTGAAGATTGCATACACCAACATAGATGGAGTGAGATCGAAGATACTGGAGTTAAGTGATGTAATACAGCTGCAGACACCAGACATTGTTGCACTCACGGAGACAAAACTTGAAGATGTAATTTTAAATGAGGTCATATTCCCAAGGGGCTACTCAATTTGGAGACGGGACAGAAAAATTAGGAAAGGCGGTGGCGTTGCTGTGCTGGTAAAAGAACACCTAAAGGTGAAGGAAATAATGACTGCCAATCCACAAGAAGTTGACATAATAGCACTAGAGATCTGCTATGAGGATGATAAACTAATGATGATAAATGCATATAGTCCACCGCCAAGCAGCACATGGTCAAAGGAGGAGCTAGATAGTAAACGTGAAGGTCTTATAACAATAATGAGAGAGATTATAGCGAGAGCGGATAACGATAGATCACGACTGTTGATAGTCGGTGACTTCAACTTGAAATCCATAGACTGGGAAGCATATGAAGCTAAAACAGAAGATTTTTGGACCTGTAAATTTGTAGACCTCATCCTGGAAACATTCTTGTATCAACATGTTAAACAAGCTACGAGGATGAGGGAAGGGGACGTTCCCTCCATGCTAGATTTGATATTTACCAGGAAGGAGGAAGAGATATTTGACATTCAGTACCTTCCTCCCTTGGGTAAAAGTGACCATGTCTTTTTGGGAATAAAGTATGCAATGCGTTATAAGCTGGAAGAAAATAAGGAGGTTGAAGCAGTGGAAAAACCAGACTTCAGGAGAGGACATTATGGTGACCTTAGAAATTTTTTAGTGAGTATAATTGGACAGACTTGATGCTAGGCAAGGAAGTGAATGAGATGTATGGCAAGTTTTGTGAAATATATGATAAAGGCACAAAAAAATTTATACCAAAACAGAGATGCAGAACTAGGAAACAGGATTGGTTCAATAGAAATTGCGAGAGGGCTAGAGACTGAAAGACACAAAAATGGAATCAATACAGGAAGAGGCCGAACCCCCAAACATACCAGCGATACAAAGATGCGAGAAACAACTACACGGCAGTGAGGAGAGAGGCAGAAAGAAATTTTGAAAAAGGGATTGCGGACAAATGTAAAACAGAACCAGGTCTATTTTATAAATTCATAAACAACAAATTGCAGGTAAAGGATAATATTCAGAGGTTGAAAATGGGAAATAGATTCACGGAAGATGAAAAGGAAATGTGTGAAACACTAAACGAAAAGTTCCAAAGTGTGTTTGTACAAAATGAAATCTTTAGGGAACCAGATACAATAAGAATTCCAGAGAACAACATAGAACACATAGAGGTGTCTAGAGACGAAGTGGAAAAAATGCTCAAGGAGCTCGGTAAGAACAAAGCAGCTGGCCCAGATGGCGTTTCACCATGGGTTCTGAGAGAATGTGCATCTGAGCTCAGCATTCCACTTCACCTGATCTTTCAGGCATCCCTGTGTACAGGAATCGTAGCAGACGGGTGGAAACAGGCTAACATAGTTCCAATCTACAAAAGTGGCAGCAGGGAAGACCCCCTCAATTATAGACCTGTATCATTGACAAGTGTAATAGTGAAAGTATTGGAAAAACTAATCAAAACTAAATGGGTAGAACACCTAGAGAGAAATGATATAATATCAGACAGACAGTATGGTTTTCGATCTGGAAGATCCTGTGTATCGAATTTACTCAGTTTCTATGATCGAGCCACAGAGATATTACAGGAAAGAGATGGTTGGGTTGACTGCATCTATCTGGACCTAAAAAAGGCTTTCGACAGAGTTCCACATAAGAGGTTGTTCTGGAAACTGGAAAATATTGGAGAGGTGACAGGTAAGCTTCTATCATGGATGAAAAATTTTCTGACTGATAGAAAAATGAGGGCAGTAATCAGAGGCAATGTATCAGAATGGAGAAATGTCACAAGTGGAGTACCACAGGGCTCAGTTCTTGCACCAGTGATGTTTATTGTGTACATAAATGATCTACCAGTTGGTATACAGAATTATATGAACATGTTTGCTGATGATGCTAAGATAATAGGAAGGATAAGAAATTTAGATGACTGTCATGCCCTTCAAGAAGACCTGGACAAAATAAGTATATGGAGCACCACTTGGCAAATGGAATTTAATGTTAATAAATGTCATGTTATGGAATGTGGAATAGGAGAACATAGACCCCACACAACCTATATATTATGTGAGAAATCTTTAAAGAATTCTGATAAAGAAAGAGATCTAGGAGTGGTTCTAGATAGAAAACTATCACCTGAGGACCACATAAAGAATATTGTGCAAGGAGCCTATGCTATGCTTTCTAACTTCAGAATTGCATTTAAATACATGGATGGCGATATACTAAAGAAATTGTTCATGACTTTTGTTAGGCCAAAGCTAGAATATGCAGCTGTTGTGTGGTGCCCATATCTTAAGAAGCACATCAACAAACTGGAAAAGGTGCAAAGACATGCTACTAAGTGGCTCCCAGAACTGAAGGGCAAGAGCTACGAGGAGAGGTTAGAAGCATTAAATATGCCAAAACTAGAAGACAGAAGAAAAAGAGGTGATATGATCACTACATACAAAATAGTTACAGGAATTGATAAAATCGACAGGGAAGACTTCCTGAGACCTGGAATTTCAAGAACAAGAGATCATAGATTTAAACTAGCTAAACACAGATGCCGAAGAAATATAAGAAAATTCACCTTCGCAAATAGAGTGGTAGACGGTTGGAACAAGTTAGGGGAGAAGGTGGTGGAGGCCAAGACCGTCAGTAGTTTCAAAGCGTTATATGACAAAGAGTGCTGGGAAGACGGGACACCACGAGCGTAGCTCTCATCCTGTAACTACACTTAGGTAATTACACTTAGGTAATTACACACACACACACACACACACACCCACACTAACATGTGACCACAAACACACCCTAACCTCTGACTATAACACACAAACATTAACCTCTGACTATAACACACAAACATTAACCTCTGACTATAACACACAAACATTAACCTCTCACCACAAACACACAAACACTAATCTCTCACCACAAACACACAAACACTAATCTCTCACCACAAACACACAAACACTAATCTCTCACCACAAACATACAAACACTAATCTCTCACCACAAACATACAAACACTAATCTCTCACCACAAACATACAAACACTAATCTCTCACCACAAACATACAAACACTAATCTCTCACCACAAACATACAAACACTAATCTCTCACCACAAACATACAAACACTAATCTCTCACCACAAACAAACAAACACTAATCTCTCACCACAAACACTAATCTCTCACCACAAAACACTAATCTCTCACCACAAACACAAACACTAATCTCACCACAAACAAACACTAATCTCTCACCAAACAAACACTAATCTCTCACCACAAACACTAATCTCTCACCACAAACATACAAACACTAATCTCTCACCACAAACAAACAAACACTAATCTCTCACCACAAACAAACAAACACTAATCTCTCACCACAAACACTAATCTCTCACCACAAACATACAAACACTAATCTCTCACCACAAACATACAAACACTAATCTCTCACCGCAAACATACAAACACTAATCTCTCACCACAAACAAACACTAATATCTCACCACAAACAAACAAACACTAATCTCTCACCACAAACAAACAAACACTAATCTCTCACCACAAACAAACAAACACTAATCTCTCACCACAAAAACACTAATCTCTCACCACACATACAAACACTAATCTCTCACCACAAACATACAAACACTAATCTCTCACCACAAAGTAACTGTGGAGATCAGTGACTTTGGTGCCCACAAGGTTCTGTTCTTGGACCTACTGTATCTTGTTTCTGATATATGTGAATGGTCTTCAAGAAGGTATAGACTTATTCCTTTCAATGTTTGTTGATGCTAAAATTATAAAGAAGGATTAAGACAGAGGAGGACAGCAAGAGGCTACAAGATGACATGGACAGACTGAAGATACGGCTACTAGACTTTAACTCGAGCAAGTGCAAAGTGATGAAGATAGGTGAAGAAATATTTCAGCAATCAGGGAGAGAGAAAGATCTCAGTGTTGATATCACATCAGGCCAGCCCCCTTAAGTTCACATCAAAAGGATAACATCAGCAGCATATGCAGAGCTGGCAAGCATTATAACTGCCTGCAGATACTTGTATAAGGAATCATTCCTTACACAATAATTCCAATAAAGAATAGAACCAGTGAAGAACAGGGGTAGCATAGGCAATATCACGGTCAACAGAAAAAAAATCAGAGGCCCACGTTTGTTCACCATCCTCCCAGTGAATATAAGAAATATTACCGGAACAACCATGGGCATCTTCAAGAGAAAATTAGATAGTTTTTTCAAGGAGTTCCTGAGCAACCAGGCTGTGGTGGATATGTGGCCCTCTTTTTTTTTTGGGGGGGGGGCCTCTCTAAGCAAACAGCCTGTTGGACCAAGCTCACACAAGTCAAGCCTGGCCCAGGGCCTGATTTGGCGAGTGGAAGAACTTCCAGAACTCCATCCAGCAGGTATTCAGAACCTTGCATACCACTTATGTCAGACCAGTAATGGAGTATGCAGCTCCAGTCAGTCCATATCTAGTTAAACACATGACAACATTTGAGAAGATTCAGAGGTATGCCACCAGACTAGTCCCAGAACTGAGTGGTATGAGTTATGAGGGAAAAACTTCATGAGCTGAACCTCACGACCCTGGATGACAAGAGTATGGGGAGACATGATCACCACCTGCAAAATTATCAGAGGAATTGACATAGTGGACAAAGACAAACTATTTAGCACGGGTGGGACACAAACAAGGAGACACAGGTGGAAACTGAGCACCCAAAACAGCCAGAGAAACATTTGAAAGACCTTGTTCAGTGTGGGAGTAGTTAACAGGTGGAATGCATTAGGCAGTGATGTGGTGGAGGCTGACTCCATACACAGTTTATAATGTAGATATGATAGAGCCCAATAGGCTCAGGAACCTGTACACCAGTTGATTGACAGTTGAGAGGCGGGACCAAAGAGCCAGAGCTCAACCCCTGCAAACACAAAGGTACCTAGCCCAGCACAACTAGGTGATTACACAAACCTCTCACCACAAACACACAGGGACTAACCTCACACCACAAACACACAGGGACTAACCTCTCACCACAAACACACTGGTACTAACCTCACACCACAAACACACAGGTACTAACCTCACACCACAAACACACAGGTACTAACCTCACACCACAAACACACAGGGACTAACCTCTCACCACAAACACACTGGTACTAACCTCTCACCACAAACACACAGGTACTAACCTCTCACCACAAACACACAGGGACTAACCTCTCACCACAAACACACAGGGACTAACCTCTCACCACAAACACACTGGTACTAACCTCTCACCACAAACACACAGGTACTAACCTCACACCACAAACACACAGGGACTAACCTCTCACCACAAACACACTGGTACTAACCTCTCACCACAAACACACAGGGACTAACCTCTCACCACAAACACACAGGTACTAACCTCTCACCACAAACACACAGGGACTAACCTCTCACCACAAACACACTGGTACTAACCTCACACCACAAACACACAGGTACTAACCTCACACCACAAACACACTGGTACTAACCTCTCACCACAAACACACTGGTACTAACCTCTCACCACAAACACACTGGTACTAACCTCTCACCACAAACACACTGGTACTAACCTCTCACCACAAACACACAGGGACTAACCTCTCACCACAAACACACAGGTACTAACCTCACACCACAAACACACAGGGACTAACCTCTCACCACAAACACACTGGTACTAACCTCACACCACAAACACACAGGGACTAACCTCTCACCACAAACACACAGGGACTAACCTCACACCACAAACACACAGGGACTAACCTCTCACCACAAACACACGGGGACTAACCTCTCACCACAAACACACGGGGACTAACCTCACACCACAAACACACGGGGACTAACCTCACACCACAAACACACGGGGACTAACCTCACACCACAAACACACAGGGACTAACCTCACACCACAAACACACAGGGACTAACCTCACACCACAAACACACAGGGACTAACCTCACACCACAAACACACAGGGACTAACCTCACACCACAAACACACAGGGACTAACCTCTCACCACAAACACACCTGTACTAACCTCTCACCACAAACACACACTGGTACTAACCTCTCACCACAAACACACTGGTACTAACCTCTCACCACAAACACACTGGTACTAACCTCACACCACAAACACACAGGGACTAACCTCTCACCACAAACACACCACACAACACACAGGTACTAACCTCTCACCACAAACACACTGGTACTAACCTCACACCACAAACACACTGGTACTAACCTCACACCACAAACACACGGGGACTAACCTCTCACCACAAACACACGGGGACTAACCTCTCACCACAAACACACTGGTACTAACCTCACACCACAAACACACAGGTACTAACCTCACACCACAAACACACTGGTACTAACCTCACACCACAAACAAACACACTGGGACTAACCTCTCACCACAAACACACTGGTACTAACCTCTCACCACAAACACACAGGTACTAACCTCTCACCACAAAAACACACCTCTCACCACAAACACACTGGTACTAACCTCTCACCACAAACACACTGGTACTAACCTCTCACCACAAACACACAGGGACTAACCTCTCACCACAAACACACAGGGACTAACCTCTCACCACAAACACACTGGTACTAACCTCTCACCACAAACACACAGGTACTAACCTCACACCACAAACACACTGGGACTAACCTCACCACAAACACACTGGTACTAACCTCTCACCACAAACACACAGGTACTAACCTCTCACCACAAACACACAGGGACTAACCTCTCACCACAAACACACTGGTACTAACCTCTCACCACAAACACACTGGGACTAACCTCACACCACAAACACACTGTTACTAACCTCACCACAAACACACTAACCTTCCCCATAAAGAAGCATTAACCCCTCCACCACCATTAACCCCTCTACCATCATTAACCCCAGGTCCTCAAACAAGTTATCTTTATATACAAAATAAATATACAAGTTTACCTAATGACTGTGTAATTCAATTATAATTTATCCATGAGCCAGGCCGCTGGTGAGTGACGGTCGCAGCTGTTGGCAGCCCTGGCGTGTGGCAACCATGACGTCACAACCAGCAGATGCGGGTGGCTGGTGTTGCCATCTTATGTTTCCTAAACGATTTATTACTCACATCAACTTAACTTATTCAAACATTTTAATTAACCTCATTATGTACTCCTAAGAGTATATAAATATTAAAGAGATTAAAGAACGGTCAAACTCCCACGAGAGAAATGGCACATAAAATATTCATGTATATAAATTCTGGCAGTTGTGATGAGTGGTAACGGTGCACATGGTGGTGTGAACCTCTACATACGGAACAGTAAGTCACACCGGAGAGACACCCCGTGACGGCTGGTCACCTCCGTCACCCCCTACACCTCTATATCACACAACACATAACTACTTCACTATATTTCACCACAACGAATGAGAGCTTAAGTTTCACTACGCCAATACTGAAGCGAAATTTTTTCATGGCAGCTGGTATCCTGCCCAGAAGATATTATTGATTTTATTATCGATTATTTTTATAGGGGAACTTGGCTGTCATGGATTTATGACGATATTAGTTAATACCCATCCTGTGGGGGGCGGTGGTGGACCCCATACCCATCCTGTGGGGGGTGGTGGACCCCATACCCATCCTGTGGGGGGGCGGTGGTGGACCCCATACCCATCCTGTGGGGGGGCGGTGGTGGACCCCATACCCATCCTGTGGGTGGTGGTGGACCCAATACCCATCCTGTGGGGGGTGGTGGACCCCATACCCATCCTGTGGGGGGTGGTGGTGGACCCCATACCCATCCTGTGGGGGGTGGTGGACCCCATACCCATCCTGTGGGGGGTGGTGGTGGACCCCATACCCATCCTGTGGGGGGGGGTGGTGGTGGACCCCATACCCATCCTGTGGGGGGCGGTGGTGGACCCCATACCCATCCTGTGGGGGGCGGTGGTGGACCCCATACCCATCCTGTGGGGGGCGGTGGTGGACCCCATACCCATCCTGTGGGTGGTGGTGGACCCCATACCCATCCTGTGGGTGGTGGTGGACCCCATACCCATCCTGTGGGTGGTGGTGGACCCCATACCCATCCTGTGGGTGGTGGTGGACCCCATACCCATCCTGTGGGGGGTGGTGGACCCCATACCCATCCTGTGGGGGTGGTGGACCCAATACCCATCCTGTGGGGGGTGGTGGACCCCATACCCATCCTGTGGGTGGTGGTGGACCCCATACCCATCCTGTGGGGGGTGGTGGACCCCATACCCATCCTGTGGGGGGTGGTGGACCCCATACCCATCCTGTGGGGGGTGGTGGACCCCATACCCATCCTGTGGGGGGTGGTGGACCCCATACCCATCCTGTGGGGGGTGGTGGACCCCATACCCATCCTGTGGGGGGTGGTGGACCCCATACCCATCCTGTGGGGGGTGGTGGACCCCATACCCATCCTGTGGGGGGTGGTGGACCCCATACCCATCCTGTGGGTGGTGGTGGACCCCATACCCATCCTGTGGGGGGTGGACCCCATACCCATCCTGTGGGTGGTGGTACCCATCCTGTGGGTGGTGGTGGACCCCATACCCATCCTGTGGGTGGTGGTGGACCCCATACCCATCCTGTGGGTGGTGGTGGACCCCATACCCATCCTGTGGGTGGTGGTGGACCCCATACCCATCCTGTGGGGGGTGGTGGACCCCATACCCATCCTGTGGGGGGTGGTGGACCCCATACCCATCCTGTGGGGGGTGGTGGACCCCATACCCATCCTGTGGGGGGTGGTGGACCCCATACCCATTCTGCGGGTGGGTGATGGACCCCATACCCATCCTGTGGGGGTGGTGGACCCCATACCCATCCTGGGGGGGTGGTGGACCCCATACCCATCCTGTGGGGGTGGTGGACCCCATACCCATCCTGTGGGGGTGGTGGACCCCATACCCATCCTGTGGGGGGTGGTGGACCCCATACCCATCCTGTGGGGGTGGTGGACCCCATACCCATCCTGTGGGGGTGGTGGACCCCATACCCATCCTGTGGGCGGTGGTGGGCCCCATACCCATCCTGTGGGCGGTGGTGGACCCCATACCCATCCTGTGGGCGGTGGTGGACCCCATACCCATCCTGTGGGCGGTGGTGGACCCCATACCCATCCTGTGGGGGGTGGTGGACCCCATACCCATCCTGTGGGCGGTGGTGGGCCCCATACCCATCCTGTGGGCGGTGGTGGGCCCCATACCCATCCTGTGGGCGGTGGTGGGCCCCATACACATCCTGTGGGGTGTGGTGGACCTCATACCCATCCTGTGGGGGGTGGTGGACCCCATACCCATCCTGTGGGCGGTGGTGGGCCCCATATCCATCCTGTGGGCGGTGGTGGGCCCCATACCCATCCTGTGGGCGGTGGTGGGCCCCATACCCATCCTGTGGGGGGCGGTGGACCCCATACCCATCCCGTGGGTGGTTGTGGACCCCATACCCATCCCGTGGGTGGTGGTGGACCCCATACCCATCCCGTGGGTGGTGGTGGACCCCATACCCATCCCGTGGGCGGTGGTGGACCCCATACCCATCCCGTGGGGGGTGGTGGACCCAATACCCATCCCGTGGGGGGTGGTGGACCCAAAACCCATCCCGTGGGGGTTGGTGGACCCCATACCCATCCTGTGGGGGGTGGTGGACCCCATACCCATCCTGTGGGGGCGGTGGACCCCATACCCATCCTGTGGGGGGTGGTGGACCCCATACCCATCCTGTGGGGGTGGTGGACCCCATACCCATCCTGTGGGTGGTGGTGGACCCCATACCCATCCTGTGGGTGGTGGTGGACCCCATACCCATCCTGTGGGTGGTGGTGGACCCCATACCCATCCTGTGGGTGGTGGTGGACCCCATACCCATCCTGTGGGTGGTGGTGAACCCCATACCCATCCTGTGGGTGGTGGTGGACCCCATACCCATCCTGTGGGTGGTGGTGGACCCCATACCCATCCTGTGGGTGGTGGTGGACCCCATACCCATCCTGTGGGTGGTGGTGGACCCCATACCCATCCTGTGGGGGGTGGTGGACCCCATACCCATCCTGTGGGTGGTGGTGGACCCCATACCCATCCTGTGGGTGGTGGTGGACCCCATACCCATCCTGTGGGTGGTGGTGGACCCCATACCCATCCTGTGGGCGGTGGTGGGCCCCATACCCATCCTGTGGGCGGCGGTGGACCCCAAACCCATCCTGTGGGTGGTGGAGGACCCCATACCCATCCTGTGGGGGTGGTGGACCCCATACCCATCCTGTGGGCGGTGGTGGGCCCCATACCCATCCTGTGGGGGGCGGTGGACCCCAAACCCATCCTGTGGCTGGTGGTGGACCCCATACCCATCCTGTAGGGGTGGTGGTGGACCCCATACCCATCCCGTGGGTGGTGGTGGACCCCATACCCATCCTGTAGGGGTGGTGGTGGACCCCATACCCATCCCGTGGGTGGTGGTGGACCCCATACCCATCCTGTGGGTGGTGGTGGACCCCATACCCATCCTGTGGGTGGTGGTGGACCCCATACCCATCCCGTGGGTGGTGGTGGGCCCCATACTCATCCCGTGGGTGGTGGTGGACCCCATACCCATCCTGTGGGTGGTGGTGGACCCCATGCCCATCCCGTGGGTGGTGGTGGACCCCATACCCATCCCGTGGGCGGTGGTGGGCCCCATACCCATCCTGTGGGCGGTGGTGGGCCCCATACCCATCCTGTGGGGGGCGGTGGACCCCATACCCATCCTGTGGGTGGTTGTGGACCCCATACCCATCCCGTGGGTGGTTGTGGACCCCATACCCAT